TCAAATCATTCCTAAGAGAGGAGATGCTACGTTGTTTCCTAAGCTCATTTGGAAGACTATTCCATAACTTAATACTACTAACTTGGAAAGACCTTCCTGCCTCAGTAGTATTTCGATACTTGGGACAGATTAGGTTATACTGGCCATGCCTGGTCTCTCTACCATGCAGGGAGTGATTTGTAGTTAAAGTACTTTCAATATACGTAGGGGATTCCCCATGCAGTGCCTTATAGATTAACACGCACTTTCTTATCTTGACTTCATCAAAGAATGGGATCCAATTTAGTTTCTTAAAATTTTCCACAGTTCTTGATCTGATACCTGTACCTAATATTACACGCGCTGCACGTTTCTGCAACCGAAACACTCTCATGAGATCTTCCTTAGAACAATAGGTCCAAACTATACTACCATACATCATGACCGGCTTAATAAGGGCATTATAGAAGAGTAATCTTTCCTCAATGGGTAAATAAGTACACAACTTTTTCAGTAGGCCAATTTTTTTGCTAAGCTTCTTACAAAGTTTATCTACATGTTCCTTAAAAGTTAGTTCTTGATCAATTGTAACCCCAAGCAGTTTCTGATGTATAACTTGCTCGATAGCTGTTCCATTTGCTTGCAACTTCAAACTAGGGTCAGCTACACGTGACTTGAGACGCTTGCCAGTTACCAGAATAGATTTGGTTTTCCCGGCATTTAAGACCATGCGATTTTGAGTAGACCATGCGCAAAGACTGTCAATGTCCTCCTGAAGTTTTGCTTCAACTGCCGTTGTCCCCAGAGTACAATGAGCACTAGAGGAAAAGGTAGTATCATCGGCATAAACATCCACAGTAGAGTTTGAGATCACTTGTGGGAGGTCATTGATGAAAGTCAGGAACAGCAAGGGGCCCAAAATACTTCCTTGTGGAACACCATGGGTGATACCTAGTGGGGATGAAGTGCACCCATTTATATTAACATATTGTTGACGGTCAGCCAAGTAGCTCCGAAACAATTGTAGATTTCCATCATCGACACCATAGATCTTCAGTTTAGCAAGGAGAATATCATGATTTATCAGGTCAAAAGCTTTACTATAATCAATACACACAAGGCCAGTTACATTATTACAGTCAATATCAAAGAGGATCTGATCCAAGAGTCGAATAAGGGCAGTTTCAGTTGAATGATGCTTTCGGAACCCTGACTGTAATCCATACAGAAGACCGTTTCTAGACAGGTGCGCGTACAATGAATCATATATATGCCTCTCGTAGATCTTTGACAAAATGGGAAGTACCGAGATTGGACGATAATTTTGTTTATCAGTCTTAGTGCCTTGATTTTTAGAAACTGGTGTGACTTTTGCCATTTCCCACTTTGACGAAAAACTGTTGTTCTGATAATTGTTGTTCTGTCTTAATTCTTTTTTTGTCATTCAGGAGCGTAGCGTCCATATACGCACGTACGCCCGTGCGTACAGCTGAAATCTAGAAAAAAATTTTTTTTTATTCCCTTTAGCTTTTGTCACAGTTACCATAAAATAGGACCAATTTCTAAATCTCGAATTATACTGGCGTGTGTGTTTGTTTTCCAGTACCTTTTCATTAATCCATAAACGACAACAAACGTTACTTGGTTTCCTAGACTGGCTTGTTAACTCTCTAGTTATTTTAGGAAGCTAACACCCTTTAAGCTTTAAAACTCTAGAGATGGGTAAAATAAATACCTAACTACTGCATTTTCCGTCGCATTTATTGATAAAAATTCCGGCGGACATAGTTGGAAATGGTATTTCCAAGACCCTAAATTTCAAAATTTTTTGGGGGAGTATGCCCCCAGACTCGGCGCTCCCAATTTCCGCGCTGTGCGTACACCTTCAAAATCTCACGCTATGCCCCTGTCATCCACGCTATTTGTAATCTAATTGTTCGCTGCCTTAAGGCCAAATAAAATTCTGATTTCTCTCTCGCTTTTGGTTTTTCCTTTTCGCTGTAAAAACGACATGAGAACTCCATTTCCAAAATCTGTTTGTCTCCAATTATCCTTTCAATTTTCCCCTCTTGTAGGAAAACGGAATTCTCATTCAATTAACTTGTTTTTTTGTTTTTATTTTTTGCTTTTTTCGTTTTCAGTATACCCACATTAAGGAAAACAGATTTGAATGTTTTTATTTGTCTGTCTTTTTGGTAGAAAATATTACGACTGAAAAAGTATGCAAACCACGTTTTTTTTTCCGACATATGGTATCGAAAATGTCCATCTTTGTTTTGGCAGCACTAAGAAATAGAAATGGTGGCATTAGCAGGTTTTCTTGATACATAGACTTTGTCTTCATTCTTTTTCATTCTTTCGCTCGATTTCGGACACTTGCGTCCGCTGTCAGGCGGTTCCTTCTTATTTCGAACTCTTGAGTCCACAATGGAACGGTTCCCTCCGATTTCTGACACTAGCGTCCGTTTTCCGAGTACGTTTCCATCCCCTTAGAAAAATTGCGTCCGTTTTCAAACGGTTCCTTCCAATTCTGAGTGTGGCGCTTCTGTTATCCGACAGTTCCTTCCGATTTCGATTTAAACTGCTCAACATATATTGATTGGACGCTTACGTGACTTGCGTCCGTTTCAGAATGGTTTTAGGGACCTTAAGAAACCACGACGGCGACGCCAAGGAAGACTTCGATAAAAAAATTAATTTCTACTTTTAGTTAGAATTTCAAAAATGGCTGCAGGAGCTTACTGTCTCATACAGCGCCACAGCTCAACTTCAGCATGACGTATAAAGTAGCCGTTGAGTTCCAAATGGAAATTAAAATAATTTGCCGTCGCGGTTTCGATTCGCAGACGACGCAAATTTTGGCGATTTCACGTTGTTGTTTTGCATAGGACGGCTAAGAAATGTACAAAGTTTCAAAACGCACGTGCTGAGCTATTGTTCTGCCAATTAGATCTCTTGTTTTTCCACGTCCTCGTTGCCGTCGCCGTCGTGGTTAG